GTGGCAAGCCAGGAGATACTGTTAAAAAGCATTTATGTGGCAACCCCGATATGTGCATAGCACACATCTGTTTTTTAAGACCATATGCAATACTGAATCCATGCAATTCTCTAATATTTTCACAGAACAACAATATATAAAAAAAAATTACAGAAGGATTTCTCAAAAAAGGGTAACTGCTTTATCACTGATGTTCCTAGCTTTTTTAATTTTATTGATTGATTGATCTTCAATGTAATTTGTAGTGCACTGCCATTCAGAAATAGCAGCTGCATTAGCTTGGCAAAAATTTTTTAATCTTACCAAAAGATACCCTGCTGTGAAAAGAACTTCTCAAGAAAGTCGCCAATCATTTTGTGACTCTTCAGTGGATGTATGAATAATCAGAAAGTACCTAACTTTTAAACATTTACAAAGTTTTGGTTTCTAATGATATTTCTGGGGTGTAAATTTTCACCCAATATTGAGTCTGTGTAAGAAGTGGACTATATTATATATTTTACTAAGAAAGATACAATTACTGGCTTCTAAAGCTGCAGTGTCATGTCATGATACCTGGATTTTGCCAAACTAAAAAGTCTGCAAAAGATTTACTTCTTGAAAACTTAATATCTGAAGTATTCCCTGATTTCTCTAGTTAGTTAATTATGAACTTGCTAATTTATAAACTTGTTAATAAACATGTTCCTGTATTATTATTTTATTTAAAAAAAGTCTTAAGCATACTTAAGCCTTCAGCAACAGTTAATAAAACTCATACTTTTAGCAAAATTTTAAAAATGTAAAATAAATTTGACTGCATTTTTTAAAATAATGCCAAGCTTTAAATATTTTAAGGCTCCAAAATTCTTCCAAAATTCACATGTTCAAAAATTTGAAAATTACTTTACTTATAATTACAAACAATGCCTATAAAAATCAATAGCACTTCAATACACTTCCACAGACCCAAACATTACTAATTAAATACTTTTTCCATTTTGGTTTCAGAATGAGTTCCCCCCCCTTTCTTCTTTTGGTATATCTCATCAGAACAATGCATAAAATGACACAAAACTAACTTTTAATATGACAAATGAATTGTTAGACTTGTTAAACAATTTCTATAATAAAAGCAGAATATCTAGACACTATTTCTACACATTTTTAGAAATTATAAGCAGTGTTAACATCCCATGATTCTGGATATTGCAATACAAATTTTGCTTCCATTTTACATATAATACTTGCATGAATCAACAATTCTTACAATAAAAATGAAACCTAAAGAAATTGTCATGCAATGTCATAATTCAAAACAGTTCAATGTCAATATGATATTATTGAAACAGGATGGTACATTGAATATACAGCATGTCGAAGGAGTGAAAAGATATTGCGGACTGCATTATGCATTTGAAAAGTTTCATTAAACAATGTAGGAGGCAGTAGTTCCTAACAATTAACTTAAGCATATTCCTTTACATAATGCATGTTTGAGAATGCCATCATAAAATTTTGTTTTATGCAACTTGGATCATCACTGAATTATCAGAATAAGATGATTTATTAGCTGCCCGATGCACAAAATCCAAGAAAAGGTAAGCAAATTTATTTGTTTCTACCTTAAACTTTTAAGCAGGCTAACTACATATATATGGTAAGAAATTTTAATGTTGACATTTTTGCGTACTGAAATGCATCCAGTCATAAGTTGTACACATATCAGAAGAAAAAAAGTCAAGGTATAAACTGGAAGGGTTATTTTGGAGTTAATTAAGATCTTATTCATAGTCTTTTGAGGAAATTTAGGAGTATGGGGCTGAACCCTTAGCCACTTGGAGAGTTTTGAAATACAGCATGTTTCTTGTAGATGATTTCCATTTCAACAGCTTTCATAATTCATGGAATAAAGCAAGTAAAGATTGCTTTTTAAATTGATGATAAAATCCATAAAAATCATGTAATCAACTTGAAAAGGTACAGAAGCACCAGATTAATTTAAATAAAACTTCAGAAGAAATAAACAGAAGGACTTTACATCAAACTGAGGTGGTGGTTGAGCAGGAACAAATTGGAATGATTGTTCTGGTGATGCATTTTTGGCTGTAGTTGCAGCTTGAAGAAGGGGAGTTGGTACACCCACTGATGATGTGCGCACAGTCGGAACAGATACAGATTCTTTCTGATCATCATAATCATCATAATCTTCTCTTAAGCTCAATTTCCTTTGACGTTCCTGTATAAATATATGATATGAAACAAAATAATAAAACATATACATTATAAGATTAACAGATTTAAATTAATAAAGTATTTATTATATAGCACGCATAAATAATAATAAATATGATGCAATGCAAAATATATGTGCTCATATAAATGTTGACAGCATCCAAATATAGCATAAAAGCACATATTGGATATGACAGTTTTCTTCCTGCAAGGGCTGAGAACCATGCAAAAGACAACTTAACCAATGGCTCAACATGTGTGTTTGCCCAGAACAGCAAAACTGGCATAAAGTGCACAGTTAACAAATAGTTAATAAGAAATGCAGTGTCAAAAGATATTGGAGATCATCCTGATTCAATGTCTACCAATGTCTTGATAATCTGATCATAGTTGAATATGGCTGGTGCAGCTGAACATTCATCAGCTGCACCTATGACAGTCTCTCGTGACATTTATAATGTGCACAGCTTTCCCTTTTAACACTTTGCACTCAGGTCTTTTTCGCATGACACACCAGCAACTCAGGACGTTCCACAGTCTTTTTGATGCACTTTTTACCAGTAACTTAAAATCATTACACACACAAACCATTACATAAAATTTTTATATTTTAACATTTTATATATTTTACACCTTCATAAACATAATTTCTTAAATATTAAGCTCTGCAATTTTTCTGTGTATGATATTTCATGTAACAATTCCCAAGATTCATGCCCGGATTGTCGGAGCAAGTATTACAATAATATATCTTTTGATGCCTTTTTTCGGGTTCATTTCTCAGAGAACAGACTTTGTGATAGATAAGAAAATTTTATCACCATTTAAAGGGGTATCATTTTACACTGCATACGATTATACAGAAAGAGCGTAGGAACTCACTTTGAAGAAACTAAATGTAAACAGTTATTGCTGTGCATTGAGTTTTCGCATCAAACCAAGTGGTGAGTGAGAGTCACCTCTCGAGTTGCGGCATCAAATCACATGGTGAGTGAGAGTCACCTCTCAAGTTCCGGTATCAAATCACCTAGTGAATGAGAGTCACCTCTCGAGTGCAAAGTGTCCAATAACAGTAGTCTCAAATTTGAACTGCACATAGATCGATCAATCTGAAAACAGCTGAAGGGGCAGAACACCAAAAATTCAAATTTATAAGTCTAAAGACTCGGACCTGCAAGTCGGACAATTAAATATAAAATTTTTGACATTTAGTTAAGGTTATTCCAATATACTGAATTAACCAGAAAATTAGAAATTTCAGACTACTGAAGCACCACCAGCTGTCTGATAGCAAACTAAATTTATTGACTGTAGCAACGTTAGAAATCCTCCCACATTACTTTAGTCACATGACCTTATATACAAGCATACAGTGACAAAGAGAAAGCTCCAACCTATTCATTCTTTTTTCCTTCCACAACATTTGCATATATAAACTCATTCACATATTTATACCTTTAATATTCTAAGCATCATTATCTGCAACAAATACATAAATGAAATGCATTCACATACCACATAAAATTGCTTTGTAGGCTGTGACATTACTGGTCTACAAGACACAATCTGAAAACTTACAAACATGATGCTTTGAACATAATATAGCTTCCAATGTAGTTACAAAACCCATAACCCATTTTAAGAACTGTAAAGTCTACCTCTTTAAAATGACTTTTTCAACACACTTCATACAATATATGTACTACACAAGTCATCTCAAACTGATGGGACTTAGGAGCAATTTCATGCAGTCCGCAAACACATTTTCCATAAATTAATTAGCAATACTGTGATAAGAATGTGGGAAAAAAAAGTTTCAGATTTCAATGATTTCACGGTCAATTTTAAATTACTTTCAATATGATTAAAAATGAACATGACTAAATGCCAAAGAAAATCTGCAAGTAGAGCTAATTAATTTACACTCTGATACAAATCTTATTCGCATATCTGAAGATAAAGTTTTGTTCAACTTTCTTTCATACTTGCCAAAAGCTAAATATCCTCATTTACAAAATTTTTTAAATAAGAAATCACTTTGTTTGGGAGTACATTTATATATAAACAATCTTGTTTTAATGCAGTTGAAAAGTCTAAAAAAGAACCAGTTTGATCAATCATCATCTGTAATTCAGGATGATGACAATTTCCAGTTATCTTTCTTTAAAGTTACAAACTTTAGCAAAACTGAAAAACTATGTGTTGCTGTAACTTAAAGCTGTAGTAAGAAATGAAGTAGTTTATAATTATTTATGTACAAACATATGTATTTTTCTATTATGCATCATGCAAAACTATAATTAAAAAAGAATACATTGTTATTATTTATTCTCAAGTTTTGTATAACTTGGAAAACTTTCATAATTTTTTTAATTTTTAGATTAAGATAATTATAAGTTCTTTAGCATTTTATTCAACAGATAGAATTATTTGGAATAAATATCAGCCTGAAAATTTAATATTTAACCGTCCATACATTTTAATTACTATCAGAAGTATCAGAAATTTCTTGCAGATGCTAGCTAGCCTCAAAATTTAATTAACAGTTTTGTCATCATTAAAAAAATTGGGGGGATGGCCATAATCTTTGATGGACAAGTGTACCAAGATCGTAAAAATATTACCCAAAGTAGCTGAAAAGAGACCACTAGCAAATAAAAGCAAACTTCAGTGCTGTAACTGACATACTCATGTTTGTCAACATTTGAATGAATTATGTGGGGGTGTTGAATACCACTTTGAAATATTTGCAAACATGAGCAATAGGTTACCAGATGCTTGCAAGAAGGCATTTATATAGTTTAACCATGCTAATTGTGATCATGAACAAAAACACACATGCACAATTCAGATTGATTTATTCATAAATTAGGGTGGACGGAATATGAATCATGTAGTAAGAATTTTTTCCATTCTTTTTTTTTTCCCTGTGTGTTTTCACTGCATTCAAACAGCACAAATTTAAGGAGTCAGAAAATTACTTTCAAGTAATCTAAGAATAATATGCTTATCATCATTTGCAGTTAACTGATTATATTGCATTTAATTTTATGATTTATATATTGGCAAAAATACGAGCATTTTCAAAACTTAATTTTGCTATATATACATAATTTTATGATAAAGTGTAATAAATAACTATTATTGTATAATAAGGCATTTCTGCATACTTTCGTAGTATAACTGGAAGTATGTTTCATTGCACATTCGGGAGGTCCAAAGTTGAAATCTCAGTGAGAGCAAATCAGATTTATTCAGTTCTCTGAATAAAAAAATTCTAAAGAAACTCTACAGTGGCACTCAAACTAAACAGGTGGTCAATGATAATTCCTCTTGGCGACTAGATCCCCTCATTCCCAGTAGCCCCTTAGAAAGGAGAGTATATAAGGTATTTTCTCCTTCCTTTCAGCAATGACTTTGTGGTGTATCTGGAAGCATGCTCAACCCATATTCAGGAGGTTCAGAGTTCAAATCCAAGTGAGGGCATTATATATTTTTCATACTCCTGCAATCAATATAGCCTGATGACTCTAAAAATAGTTACTATAATTATTTAAATATATGGTGTATAATTTTTATATAATGAATTTAATATAATAATTAAGAAATTATTACTATAATTAATAATATATATATCTTTTTATCTTTGAACTAAAATATATGCAATGAAAACATTTCTTAATAATTAGTTCTAATAATCATATGATAATAAATGATTATGGTAGTTATTTAATTAATTCCAATAATAATAATTACATTTCTTTTTGGCTTTTAGGGCTTTAGTCTATATGCATTATTATACATAATTGATATGAGGAGAATCAAACTTATTTTAAGGGAAAAAAGAACAAAAATAATTCTTGCATAAAAGATCCCAATATTTTCAAATGTCACATTAAATCAACTATGATCAGAGAAGTCTCCACCTAAATGGGGTTGACTTTTTATTATTATTACAGTCAAAAGTCTTTAATCTGGACTCGTCGGGGATTCCGGATTAGCGGTTTTTCTAGATTATAGATCATCATTTTATATCTGGTAAGATGGCATGCAGAAATTATAAAATTAAAAATATGAAACCGTAATTTATGAAATAAAGAGCAATTATGATCTAAAGGGTATCAAAATTTACAAAAAAGCTTAATATTTATTTGTTTACTTTATTAAACATTTCTTTCAATGCACGCATACATAAAGCATACATTACGCATAGTCGGAATTAGAAAATTTCAACCAGAAAACTATTTTATGTGTATTCCGCTGTTCAAGTCCTATAATTGCTGCGTCGAGAATACCGGCTAATTTGTCAATCGAAATTTTTTCGTTTCCAATAATCTCTGTGTCACTTTCTTCACTATCGGAAGCGAAATTATAATGATGAGGAACTTGATTTAAATCACATCAAAGACGGAGTATATCGAGATGAAATACTACATTTAGTAAAGGAAATTATAAGACGAATAAAATAAAAATATCTGCCCCTGAAGATAAGGGATAGTGCTGACAAGATCAACTTCCAATTCATTGCGCTGCGTTTCCCCCACCCCACACCGCCACAGAGCAGCATGAAATTGATAAACAGTTTTTGGAATGGTTAGAGAAACAAAGGATATGCCTTTATCCATTTTTTGCAGGAATTCCACTTTTTGTTTGATGGACATCGAAACATGCTTTCGCTTTGTAGATCCTTTGACAGCTCCAGAATCAGAAATTCTTTTTGACATAATCGAAAGTTCAAGCTTACTTTTCTAAAACTGCTCTAACAGTCTGCAAAAAATAATAAGCCGGATCCGATTAGAAGATTAAGGGACAACACAATCTGCAACATTAACTGAAATAAATAATTAGATAATTTTAGCTTAGCTTATACCGTTCGTTATACATTAAATGCGCATGCGTAAACGTATTATGCGCAAGCGTAACGGTATTATGAACATGCATAAACGCATTAATGCATTTACGCATGCGCAGAAAGTTTGTAGATTTGAGATCCGGATTATAGATCATTCCGGATTATGGACGTGCGGATTAAAGACTTTTGACTGTATTATTATTTTAACTGCAGAAAATATATTTCTGCTAAAAATTATACTTCCATTATTTTTAAGAGACTTACTTTTAAAAGTAAGTAATGAAATATGCACTGTTCACATAAAAATCACATGTTATGAAAAAAAATTTTCTACATTTTTTATTTCCAGCATTGCACATCAATGCCAAGGTTCACATTTATTTTTGTGAATACAAAATAAAGGCACGAAAGACAACTGACAACAGGATCACCTCATGATAAAGCGACTTTCCTTCCTTCAGTAATAAATTCTCATGTGACCTACTCTCCCTGAGGCTGGTAATTAAAACCCTTTCTGGAGAATCGTAAGTATTTTGGCATAATGCCACTTAAGGCTGCATTTAACAAGGTCAAACTATAAAAAATGTGATGCATTAGACATCTCTTAAACAGAAACAATACATCTGACTACCTTGCATATTATGTATATACTAATAAGCAGTATACCCGAACCTGCTAAGAGCAAAACTGCCTAACTGGTTATTCTCAGGAAGGCAATACTCATCATTCACCCCAATTTAACATTGCTTTAAAAATGAATGCAAATTATGAAATTGTAAAGTTTAGAATTAAGTATTATTCGGCCATTTCCCTCTATGTAAATTTGTCAGATTATTTAATTAAATCAAATTTCAATATAAATGCCTACTTTTCACTTTCAGTAAAGGAAAATGGAATCAACATCTAGAAACATTACTTATATTGATTTGCAAAAGTGTAAAAAATTCAAGTAGAGTTCATTTTTAAATAAGCATGCAGCAGTGTCAATGAGATAAGTTTATATTACAGAACAAACCTCTTCATCTTTCTTAGCAAGTTCCTTTTCTTTTTCCTCACGAGCTAAACGTTTTTTCCTCTCCTCTTCAGCTCGTTTCCTTGCCTCTTCTTCCTCAACTTTCGCCATATTTTCAAAGCGAGCTCTTAGACTGCTAGCCTTAGCCGAACCCACTAAAAATAATAAAAATGTTGGGGAAATAACTGTTTCCTTTAAACATGTACAGATAATGTGAAAAAAAAATCATGTTTATACATTTCAGGCTTACCTGATTCCGAACGAAGTTTCTGATATGATGATTGTGGTTTTTCAACTTCTGAGAAAGAGTGAGCCGACTGAAATCGAAGCATGAAATTAATTTTTGTCTAAAAGTAATTATCCTAAAAAGTATCTTACGCTTAACAATTTGAAGCATCGTTATATGAGTCTTTTAATACACTATCTCGCATGATCTTTAAATCATAGCAGTTTATTAGAGATATTTAATTTATTCTATAATTGATTTAAAGGTCAAAGGCCATTTCACTTTTCTGAGAGAGCGAATGCCAGTTCTTCAAAAAAGAATAGTAGCTCTTTTACAGTTCACCCACATACCAAAAGATATCATACTTAAATATATTATGGGGACATATGACATAAAAAATTTTTAAATTTTTAATTTTGGGCTAAAAATATAAAGTAGATTGAGATGATTCCAAAAATATATAATTTATGCATGTTTCAAAATTTTAGAAGACCGAAATCTTTCATTAAAAAATGTAAACAAGCACTAGCACACCTATCAGTTTAAAAGGGATAGATGTCTAGTGTGGCTACAGTTGTCAATAAAGATAAAGGCATATCACCTGGTAAAAAATATGCCCATAAACATTCTTTGCCAGAACCTGCTTCATTAGCTGTTAGAAGTGTATTTAAAAAGTCTCTCTTACAAACAAACAAACAAAAAAAAAAAAAAAAAAAAACCTACTGTTACGAAAGAACTCAAAACCTGAATGAAAGTGTTTTTGTGAGCGTCATCATATTAAAATTAGGTTTTTTAGATGTGGTAATATGTTTTAATGATAGTGTACAAAGTGGCAATAAAGTAATGGAACTATTAGGAATATGCTCTTCTTGAAAACTATTCAAGCCCAGAAGGTTTAAATTTCCCACAGTTGTTTATATTAACTATTTCTTTGAAGGTATGCAGGATAGAAAATTTACGATTAGTACAAAGTCTGAAATCTGGACTCTTTGGGACTTCGGCGATTCCGGATATTAGATCATCAATTTAAATCTGGTAAGATGGCATGCAGAAATTATATATTATATATATATATATAAGCTTAATATTTATTTGTTTATTTTATTAAACATTTCTTTTCAATGTAAGTTGTTTAAGTTGCTTCCACAAAAAATTCAAAAAGTTCCTTTTTCTTTTGTGTCATATACAGTTGACTTGCCAATGCCATACTTCTCCCATAATTTTGAGACGGATATGCCTTTATCCATTTTTAATGGACATCGAAACATGGTTTTGCTTTGTAGATCCTTTGGCAGCTCCAGAATTGGAAACTCGTTTCGACATAATTGACAGTTCAAGCTTAGTTTTTATAAAATTGCTGTAATAATAACAGTCCGCAAAAAATAATAAGCTGGATCACACTAGAAGATTAGACAGCAGCACAGTCCACTACAATAACTCAAATGCCTTAGAATCAGTAAAGATAATTTTAGCCTAGCTTAATAGCATCCATTATACATTCTTGATTGTGTATCACAAGACTGGTGAAGAAAGCCAAGTTGTTTCGCTAAATTTTGTCTTGCTCCTATTGCGTACTGAATTAAGCCTGAATTGTATTAGTTTAGTTATTTAATATACTTATGTTTATTTCTTGCACATGCTTAAACTAATATGAGTCTCGTATAAATAAACTCTCACATATACTTAACGCTTTATCTAGGGCCGGCAGTAAATACCACCTGGTGCAGTCTCTACGGGTCCTAAATTCTGCTACAAAGCACCTTCCTAAGTTCTAAATTTTCACCGCACATAAAATTTGCATCCCAGTGCTTTCCCTAAACCATAAAAAACTTTGCATCCCTTAAGTTTGCCGCTCGGTGCTTCTCCAAATTCCAAAAATTTAGTCTTCCCTAAATTTTGACGTCTGGTGCCGACATATTCTGCCACCGCTTCTGGGTTTATGGTGAATAACATATCAGTTATTCTTAATTAAAATAGCACTAAATGTAATCTTTTGGCCTGGATTACATTTAACGAAATTTACATTTAGTGAAATTTTCATTAGATTGCATTTAGTGAGTTTCATTAACAAATATATTTTTAGCATATGAAAAGAAATTTTTGTTGAATTTTTCCTCGTCAACATTTCTTAAAGCATTTAAAAATCTATAATCATCGTCAATCGTAATGTTAGCATAAAAGGTTGCCATACTCTTGTTATTCAATTACTAATATAAAAAAAAAGTTTAGACATCACTGCATGAATTATTACTGAAGCTGTCCTGTATTGATAAACATGCAATGTTGAAAGCAAAATATAATAAATAATGACTTGCCAGGTCTGCATCAGGGATATAAAATAGGTGAATGTTTCAGTTTGAGATGTATGCCAAGCAGATACTCAGCTACGGAGCCAAATTATTAATCTAAAAAATTTATGCTTACATGATAGTTTTTCCATAACGAGGTATTTTATTTAGTGCTTATGTGAAATTAAGAATCGAAATTTTTACGTGAAAATCTCCCCATGTTTTATTATGGAAGGAAAAATCAAATGCGCATGCGTAAAGCATATATATTTAAAAAAAAAGTTTGTGGCTTTAAGGTACGGATTTTAGATCACTCCAGATAATGGACGTCCAGATTTCAGACTTTGTACTGTATTAGTATTGGATATACAGTACAAAGTCCATTATCCGGAATGATCTATAATTCAGACCTCAAAGCCACAAAAAATTTTTTTTATGCTTTACACATGCACATAAGCGTTTACGCATGCGCGTTTAATGTTACGCATGCACGTTTAGCACAAAAAAACGAAGCAACTTAAACAACGTACATTGAAAGAAATGTTTAATAAAGTAAACAAATAAATATTAAGGTTTTTTTTTTGTAAATTTTGATACCCTTTAGATCATAATTTCTCTTTATGCATGTAATGCGTTTACGTATGCGCGTTTAGTGTTATGCATGCGCGTTTAGCACAAAAAACAAAGCAAAGAACTTACATTGAAAGAAATGTTTAATAAAGTAAACAAATAAATATTAAGCTTTTTTTTTTGTTTTTTGTTTTGTAAATTTTGATACCCTTTACTTCATAATTTCTTTTCATGCACGTAATGCGTTTACGCATGCGCGTTTAATGTCACGCATGTGCGTTTAATGTTTACGCATGCGCGTTTAGCACAAAAAACGAAGTAAACAACTTACATTGAAAGTGTTTAATAAAGTAAACAAATAAGTATTAAGCTGCTTTTTTTGTGTGTGTGTGTAAATTTTGATGCCCTTTAGATCATAATTTCTCTTCATGCACGTAATGCATTTACGCATGCGCGTTTAATGTCACGCATGCGCATTTAATGTTTACGCGTGCGTGTTTAGCACAAAAAGCAAAGCAACTTAAACAACTTACATCTTACATTGAAAGAAATGTTTAATAAAGTAAACAAATAAATATTAAGCTTTTTTTCTGTAAATTTTGATAGCCTTTAGATCATAATTTCTCTACATGCACGTAATGCATTTACATATGCGCGTTTAGTGTCACGCATGCGCGTTTAGCACAAAAAACAAAGCAAACAACTTACATTGAAAGAAATGTCTAATGAAATAAACAAAAAATATTAAGCCTTTTTTTTTTTTTTTTTTTTTTGTAAATTTTGATACCCTTTAAATCATAATTTCTTTTCATGCACGTAATGCGCGCTTTTCATTCATCAACAATCCAATAGCCATGTTGGTGGGCCCAGGCAAGGCATAAAACTTTGCGTCATATAATCAACAACAGTATGTGAAGAGGCTTTCAGCTCAGAAAAGCCCATATCAATGATGGTCTGTTGAACAGTCCATACACTGGCAATTGTTGAAGCTCCAGCATTGAAATGTGCAGCACTTTGAGGAAAGGTTGCATGTTTGTCATGTTTAATAATTCTCATCAGTTGTCATTGATCCTGTTCTTTCACAAGCTTTTTCCGGACTCAGCGATGTCGGAGATTTCATGTTTTACCGGATTCCTGATATTCATGGTACACTTGTGAAGTGGTCATATGTGAAAATCCAAATTTTATTGCTTCCTCAGAGATGCTATGTCCCATCTCTCATGTGCTGACTATAACACCACGTTCAAACTTATTTAAATCTTGATAACCTGCCATTGTAGCAGCAGTAACTGATCTAACAACTTTGCCAGCCACTTGTCTTACATAGGTGCAGCTGTCTGCCATGCTTTACTGTGATCGATTCCATGACATATTCCATACTGTTATTTTCATATATACACCTAAGCCCATTTTTTGGCTCTTCAATGCACTACTTTTGAAATTGTATCCTACAATCAATAAACTGTAAATCACTAAAAGAACTTCGTTAATCCTGCAGATGGTACCAATACTCAAACAAATGAATCATGCTGAGGGAATTTCAAAGTCAAGATCCTAAGCAACATGTACAGTACCGCATCATAAGTATTTCCATGTTATCTCATAGAAGCATGTTAGAGATCTGTTAATAAAAGTGATGACTTTTTCTTTCCATGCAGTGCTACATTTATAGTGTATACAGCTGAATAACTCATAAAAATAGCTCTTTTAACCCTTTAACTGTCAAGTTATTTTGATGATTTGGGTACACAAATTGTCAAATTTTTTTATTCGAAAAATCAAATGTTTAATACAAAATAAAATATACTTAAGGAGTTAAAAATTGATATTTTGAAGTACATGGGTAAAATTTTTAAAGTTTTGTAATAGTAATAATGTATAATAATTCTCAAGCAAATATGCGTGTAGCCAACGCATATTTGCTTGGGGCGGCTGCCACTCAACATGGCAGTTGTAAAATTCGCTTCTAGTGGAGCATTATTTTCTAAAAAGGAAAAAAATTAATTATTTTCTAAAATATAAATAAATGAAGAAAATAAATAAAAGTGAATACCTATTGGTAGTTTAGTAATTCAGTCTTGTGTGGTACAACTGGAAACTTTTTCCAAGCACAAACCAACTCCACAATCACTACACCAAATCGTGTTTCCTTCCTTATCTTTTTCCCATTTTATCCTTTTTTGAACAACACACTTTGCACTGTCTTGTAGGCTCACGTTTCACAGGAATAGGAGGAATATGGGAAATAAAATGTCGTTCAGTAAGACGGGCAGGGTTATCTATTGTAGGTGGTCTGCCAACATTCTTTTGTCCAGAAGCTGCATCATCATATTTATGTAAAAGCTCTTCTACAACTTGGATTCGAAATTTTAAAAATGTAATACGTTTCCCAACTACATTTTTATAGAGCAAATATGAGTTCCAAAGTATCTTGTCTAGTAAATGTAAAAATATCTTTTTATAATATTCTTTCTGACGTTTTCGGATTGTTGGATGAGAGGATATTTCCTGATCACAGTGACCTACACCACCCATAGTTAGACTGTAGTCAGAAACAATCTTCGGCTTGAGTATATCTTCATTTTTTTTTTTTTTTTTTGTTTTTTATTTTTGAGGCTGACCATGGAAGTATCATAAATACTGCTCATCAAACACACACATCCTTCATCTTCGGGTTGAAGAATCTAAATCTATATAACATTTCAAAGAAAGAAGATGCCATTTTACAACAAAAAGATCCCATGCACTTTGAAACCAAAGCACTTAAACCTCTAACCTTTGAAATCTTCAGTAAAGTGCTGTCATCTATTGAATTGAGCGCACGTTAACTTTTCCCGAGATACAGTCGGATTAGACAAAGAGATGAAGCCGAAATAAACGTCTCCCAATATATATTCGGGTATAACAATACGATGCACTTACAAAAAAAATTACCCCGAGAAATACTCGGGCGTGACATTTTTGAACACCAGTGCTGTGCCCGAGATCAGTTAAAAGGTTAAATGACTTCTGCTTTTGTTATATAAAGTTAGAAGCAATTTAAATTTAATGGAGTTAAAAATTTAATACAGTATTAAATTAACTAATGGAATAATTTTCCATGCATTCTTAATTATTTGTATTTATTTTCATATTTTTAAGAACAGCATTTTGTGGCCTCTGATAAACAATTAACTAAAAGCAATAAAATCGCACATAATATCAATGCTGGCAAAACAAACATTAGCACTGCACTGGCCATCCTTATTTAGATTCCTACTTAACTGAATTCATCTGGCAGTGATTGCATGAAAAGGTGCAAATGCTTTTGCAACCTTAAATGAAATCACCAGTTTTATGCCTCTAGGATAATCTGTTAAAAGTCCATTTTGTACTTTTGTATACTTTATTTCTTGTATTTTCCTCAATTTTTAAAGTTATTCTTTTTATGAAGCTTGACATATTGTTAGGATTGCCACCATTTATGTATAGTGCTAAACTGTACCTTGTTAACAGAAAGTATCTGGAATTTGGAAGAATAACAGAAAGGTATTTAGAATGTATACAAAAAAACTTGATATATACTAACTTTATCTTGCCTATCTGTTTCTACACCAAATTTACCCCCAAAACCTTTCTTCATATCAGTCTGTGAAGGATGTGCTTCGACTTTTGTTACTTCTTCCCAACCTAGTGCTGACTTATCTTTCCTGTCTTCTTGCACTCCAAACTTGCCACCAAATCCTTTAGCATAATCTAAAGGAGAATTTTAATATGAAGTTGAAGACAAATGATTAGAAATAACTGAAGCTTAGAATTACAGACTTTATAGATGTAAATCTACTTTACATTTAAGAAACAATTGAAATTTACCAACACCCATTATGCACGTTCAAAACAGAATCCAAAAAATGGAATTTTTTTCATTATTATTAAATTTTAATTTATACAGTGTGCATGATACAGTGTGAGAAGGTCTTTTTTTAGTTTAAAATTTATTATACAAAAATTATTACAATTAGGTACTAGGGTGTTTCATATTTTAAGCCAAAAAATAAAATGTAAAATCTTTGCAGTCTCTGCTTACTCCCCGAGTCTCAGTAATGTAAAAGATATAGATGCCAAATTTCAAGATGATTGAATAATATTTAGAAGTTGCACACCTTTAAAAATAGGGAAAATTCAATGGTAATTACTTTTATTGGGAAAACTAGAAATCAAAAAATTAATATTAAAACTAGACACTAAGATTAACAGGTAATGCGACAGGCAACACAAGTGTTAGAACAATGCAGTCCCTTCTTTTGTTCACTTAGCAAAAACTTTTCTGTGATGCTCGACTACCCTCAACAAGATTCGTTTTTATTGTTCATCTCTGATTGATTCATTAAAATTTTTTATCAGAGCACTTCCTTTCTCTTTCTGTGGTATCACTGCCTATCATAAGAGCATTCACACAACTTCTTAGAAAATCAATGCAGTATTTTGTCCCATTGTGGATATTAAACAATTCAAAGAATGCCTTTGTTTAATTAGTAACGAAGTAGCTTAGGTCAACTTCCTTCAAAAATTAAGTTTTTACCTTCTAATCATTTCACTTCCTTTTTCTTGCAGGTTTGGTTTCTGAAATTTTAAGCATATTTTCCTTATCAGCCTGAATAATACATTCATCCAAAAATGCCTATCCTACAATCATTTTTGACAGATAACAAAGGTGTCTCTTGGCAACTGTCAAAGCACTTTTTCCGACATCTGCTTCTCGGTAAGTGCTCAGAAGCTGTAACATATCAAAATCAATTTTTAGAGCTGATCGGCTTACAGTTGCCTCATGGCAAAAGCAAACACATACAAGGCTAATAAAATGTGCAACCTGTTTCATTCCTTTTAACTCTCATTGAGGAATATTCAACTGTTTAGAGCAAAGAGGGCAATTTTAAGTGCATATATTGCCTTTGCAATCCTTGGTACTATCTACTCTATGGTGATAATGATAATAATAAAATCAAACACACCATTATCAAATTTGGAAAAAAAAAAAAAAAAAAAAAAAAAAAAAAAAAACACCAGGCAGAACATTTCAAGCGGTTACACTTTTAACAAGTTTCCATGGATAATAATTTTTCTGATATACTAATTGTGAAATAGCCAATCACAAACCCCAAAGAAAAATAGTAATAATTAGAAATATTTAATAGCATAAACCTTTGACAGTATCTTAAGAGAAAGGCTTTACAGAAATCGTTTCTACTAATTATTACAAAATTCCTAATATTTTGAAACTTTTCTTTTTCCTTCTTTTTTTTTAATTGTATACAATGAATATTCTACTATAATTCTTAATAGCAATCAGTCAGAAGCAAACTTATTTGTTGGAAGAAATTCTACCATTGAAAGGCAAGAAATTATTTACAAAAACACAATAATGGTTATAACATTCTCAATAATGGAAGAAATCTTATGGTTTGTTTATGAATAAAAGAATTGCCTTGGAATGTCAACTAAATTATTGACTATTATGCACACTATACAAACAAAAAATATAAGACTGCACACTACAAATATCAGTAAATATCACTCAAAATCTTTCAGTTTATATCTAAAATATAAATTTTTCTTCATGAAAGGAATTACAACTTCATGAAAGGAATTCCTTACATTTTAAGCAGTATGAAATATGCACATCTCTGAATCAGATTTCTCCAACAACATTGCAATTAATTCACACTAACAATATACAACATAGTACATAGGTAACTAGAATTAAGCCTATAATATATGTTTAATTGCATATTTGCATTATCAAGCACATTAAATATTACACTTTTAAGCAGCAATCAGTTACGATTACAAGCACAGTGAGAATATATAAGATTAATAATTTATCTGAAAACATCATCCAAGATATCTGGAATTATTTCTTGTATATATTTTCTTATGCACACTAAATTAGTGCACAACATAGGTAAAGAAAATAACAAATGGTTGGGAAGAAGGTAGGATAAAAACTAAAATGTACATCTTAACTAAAACAAAGAATTTTAATGATTTTAGAATTCAAACTGCTACAAAGCTTATAGAAAAGCAAACCCAAAGCTCACAGAAAGAACAAAAAATGTTTTTAATATTCTCAAGGTCACTACACACAAATATTAGTCATTTGTTAAATTTACTTTATAATTTCCTACTTGTCACCTACAGAAGTGGAGTCATACAGTTACATATCACACACTACATTTTCACGTTTTTACCTCTTTAATATAATTTAATACAACTTGGTCCCCTTAATCACGGCCAGATTTACGTATAAGTTACACAAGCCGCCCAAAAAATTAAAAAATTTCTTGAGCCACCCAAAAAATTAAAATGCAGTATAAATAGCTTTAAAATATATTATAACAGACTTATTAAGGCCCCATATTTCAAATAGCTTGGAGCCTTATCAAGTCTAAATCTGGCTCTATCCTTAATCAATTGGCTAACTCTTTACAACTGTATTATACTGGCTTCCAAAATTATGGAATAATACTTATTACAAAACTCGTAACTTAAAAACACAAGAAAATATTATACCAATTATTTACATTTTGCAATATCAAAAAGAACATAAAATTTCTTGAATTCACACATAAAAAAAAATTTCTCAATAGTGAACCATGAACAACAATACAGGGTGATAAGTCGTGTTATTTATGATGTTGTCAATGAGTTGCTCGGGTAGCAGTATCCATTGATCACATACAGCAGCCCATCTAGGATTTGGGAAGAGGGTTGGAGGCTAGTAACTCTCCTTTTGAGAAAGTCCTACACATGTTCAGTGAGATTATGATCAGGAAAATGTGTTAGCCATTCCATTTGGACGATAGTTTCTTTAAGAAATAGATGTACGAGAAGATAAGTGTGAAGGCGGCCATTATCTGCTTGCATAATGAAGGGATCTCCAATGGGATTGAAGGTATCACATACAGATAAACAATAACACCCAGTATAAATATAAGTCTCTGTATACCTCTGAGCATTGACAGTTCTATGTGGCAGCACATACAGATCTGTGTCCTCATAAAGACTCCTCTCCTACAATAACACTACCTCCTGCATCGGTATTCCCTTCCCGTATGTCAGAATGTAGTTATCAAGAATTTGCTTCTCTCCACATATAAGCAAGTCAACAATCACTTTTTAAGCAAAAGGGTGTCATCAGTGAACAGTAGAGATTTCCACTGATTTTCAGTCCAGTTTATATGACTATACCCAATTCAAACACTCCCTCTAGTGGCAGGAGGTAAGCAGGATGCACAATGTGGGGGTCGACGAGCATACAGACAGCTTCCATGCAGTCTTCTACATACTGCTGTGGCTGATACTGTCTTTCCTGTAGCAAAAATAAGCCTGGATCTAAGCTGAGAAGGCTGATCTATGCAGTCCTGTTGTGATGTGCACTAACTCAAAAATACTTGTCACCTACAGAAGTGGTAACTCTTGGCTTACCTTTGAATAGATCTTCAAAATGCTGAACCAGTAGTTAGAAATTGTTGAGTGGGTGCACCATATGATTGTCATCGACTTGCATCTCATCGGCCTAGGACTCTATAATGCAATTCTGCTAGCATATGCCACCACAAACTAATTTTTTATACTTTAACTATCTTGAAATTGTTTAATATACCACCATGCATTGAACAGCAACTCCCTCCTAAACAGTTGGATTTAAGTTGCATTGTATTTACATACAACAGTGATAACACTACTCTTGTGTATAATGCTACTTAATGTAGCTTGTTTTTATTTGTAATATATCCAAATTTCATGAATTTTGAATTAATTTTAGCCTATTTATTACAATTTTTCAATTTGCTCTTTAACTCTTCGGGAGTGTAGTTAAAAGACTGAATGAGATTAAGGATTGAACACTTTTTTAGAAGATTTATTTTTGTTATCTGAATGATTCTGTCAATTACTAAGAACTTGTTTGTGAATAAAACTTAATGATTCTAAAAACAAAGAAAATACTTATCCCCAAAATCTTAAAATTACACCTATGAAAAATTTTGTATAAATTTAATCATCTGTATAAATTTTGCTTATTCCAGAAACTAGATCAATCCCATGCTTTGCTAACTCAGAAATAAAATATTGTTTTCTTATCATTTTTCAGTTTAAACAAAATCTATGTGAACTTTCAATAACTTCTAAAAATAATTTCCAGAAGATTAACGAGGAAAACTAAAAAAATACTTAAAAGAAGATAAAATTAGATATAACAAATTGAATATTAAATCATTGATATCCTTTAATATGAAAAAATATTAGTAATAATATTGACCTATATAACCCCCTGCTACATTTTTAAAAATTAGAAAGAAAAATTCCTCTTTCAAAGCAGCTTCAGAATTCTGAGTAGTGAAGTAACAGCTACACATAAGATTCTATAAAGTTCATGGAATCAATATAATGTTATGATCACGCAATCTTATTTTTAGCCATCTTAAATATTTCATTCTCATTTTCAGCATTTAAAATTCTCCTATGAATATTCAAATTCATACCATGACCATTTTTAGCATAAACCTTTTCTAAAAAATTAAAATAATGTATTTTAAATCAGTAAAAGTCATCACAAATGATAGTGATAAAATTTTAATTTCAAGACTTAAGCAGCAAATTTAGACAAAAATTAAAAATTATTCCAATTACTATTATTTCTTTTGTACCACACACTATCAAAAATTCAAAATCACAATTAATCTCCAAGCATTTGCAAAGCAAACAGAAATTAGGAGCACCTTGGCGTTCTCAGGAAACTGCTACTTAAGATTTATATTAAAACTAATTCACAAAAAGCCATGCAATGTTATTTCTTCTGTTAAAAAAATGGCAAAAGCCAAACAAGCAGCATTATAATTACACAGTATTGTTGAAGTGCTAGATCAGACAAGTCTCAGTATATTTATGGGACTGACCAATCTGGGATTGGTGTTTGGGCACTTTTTCGATATGTTGCCACCCAACAGCACACTTGTCTTGTCGATCAGTAAGTACACCATACTTTCCACCAAATCCTAAAGTATAATCTGTGAAGCAAGTGAAAATTATTAACAATAATTGAAGAAAACTTAGGAAAAACATTGCGTCCACTGTTGTACAAAAACTGATGATATACTACAAAGTTAAAAAAGCATAAAAAATTTAATTTTGAAAAAACTATTTACTGCATGTTGAAAGCAAACAATCAAAAAATACAACTACCTTAAGTAATTCTAAAAATATATATAAAATAAAATAAGCTAAAAAAAATTCTTACGAAAGTGGAAAAACTGTTTTTCATCTGTATGAAATAATCCATCTCTAAATGTTTACTTAATGATATTTACCATTCTTTTCTCATTATTTGCCTCATAATAAACCTTCTATAATAACTTAAAAAGTTTAGGGGATACACTTGAGAAACTATTATAGAGCTTAATTAAGATGCTGCTCTAATTACACAGTTATTTTAAGAGTTAAAAAGATAAATCAGCCGAACGAGCTGATACATATTTATTTAAATATTTGATGCACACAAAAAACATGCACTTGTTATTTGATTATTGCAAGACCGAATAGAATATTTAAAATTTTCACATACTGCAAACATGTAAAATATTAAACTGTAAACATGTAATTGCAAAACATGGAAGAAAACAAACATTATATTTGTTTTGGGAGATACTAATAATGTGAGTATATCTTTTAACACTGCTTATATGAAGTGATGCATTAATCTTCTGCCCTTTATATAGTTTTTATTTAGACCAAGCTATTTTGACGACAGATACACACATTCTCAGATTTTTTCTAAATTTATAATTAGAACTTGCTCTAACACTGTCAAGAAATTATCTTCTTTCATTTCTCCTGTGCTCATATTTCCTTTATCAGCCATTTAATAAATAATTTAAAATTCTCCATATAATTAATAGCAGAGTTATAGAATCTATCTTATTGGTTACCTATTTTAATACAATAAAGCCAGAAAATTCTACAATCTGCCCTAAAATTTTAATTTGGTACATTACTTTCAATAGCAGAAGGATTACATTGTACATTTTGTATTGCTTTACAATCACAAAGTTTACAAAAACTCCAATATAATTAGACAAAAAAAAATTCTTACTATTAATTAGTGATTTTACTTAGGATAGATCAACAACTATATTTAACATCATATTTCTTAAATATCACTGACACATCCAACAGCATATCTGCCACCTAACAGCATTAATATAATACTAAAATCAGATCTAAAAAATTAACTTTCCTTAAAATGCAAAAATCAGAGGATTTTCATGCTCCTTACAGAATTTAATTCTTAATTCTGTAATTAAAAGGTTACCAGCTGAGATATTTCGTTTGGCAATGACTGCATCATTTTTGGTGACTTTTTCGCCTGTGCCGGCAAAATGGAAAAGTACAATAAATTCTATTATATAAACACTATATTTAATAAATTAAACTTCAGTCTGATGCGCAAATAATATTTTGTTTTTTAAAAAATACAGAAATTTTAGTTAACATAAGGTTTTTAATATTGTGCTAAAAAAGAATTTGGTTCAAAAAATAAAAGCATTCAGTCCTTTTAATAGTTAAAAAAAATTAGAATTAAACAATTGAAAACCCTTTGTTTTTTAAATACAATTTTAAGTGGTTATTATCAACTTTTATGGGCATAAATTGCTTACAACTACTCAATTATTAAAATTAAATACATAACACATGTAAAATATTACAATAATCAGCTTTTTCAATTTATATATAAAATCTTAATGAGTTAGTGAAAAAGGCTGAATTTTAATATTATCAAATTTAGTTTATCAAAGTTCACATATAAATTTGAACTATAACAAACGGTTTAAAATGTGTGCTCAGGTATGAAGTTTCCTACACTCAAATGGTCAGACTTTAACTCCAAAAAAAAAGTTTGAGTTCACCTTTGAGTTTGGTCAGATTTTAACAATCACCCCAAAAACTCTTTTGAAGTTTAATGTGGTTTATCAACAGAGATTATCAAGAAATACGGCCCAAGTGGAAGTTCAAAACATTTTATGGGATATTAGATGAATATGCATTTAGACTAACATGGGAATGCTATACATCTTCTGCATACTTAAAAAGTGAAAAAATAATGTAATGAAATTCTATAAAAATATTTAATGCTTTTAATTATGAATTAAGTGCACTTTTATTGAAATCATCATGAATTAAATTTATTTTTATTGAAATCAATCAGATTAAAAAGTAAAAAAATAATATTTTTAAGAATTGCATCTATTGCTTTTAAACAGTTTAGTTTGTAGTAACAGAAAGATTAAATATGAAAGACTATTTTATGTTCTTCAGAATGCAGCAGTCTCGAATGAAAAGTGAAACAACACATTAAAGTGAAAAAAATTACTCGAAAAGTGAAAAAAATATAGTGTAATTTTACAAATTATTTAATGTTTTCGTTTAGATATATCATGAATTACATGCACTTTTATTTAATTGAATCAGACTCAAAAGTAAAAAAATACTATTCTTAAGAACTGCATTTATTGTTTTCAAATAATTTAGCTTGTTCTTCAATAACAGGTATATTAAATTTGAAAGAATAATATCTTATATTTTGTCAAATGGCAACAGACTTGAATGAAAAGTGAAACTACACAGAAACACATTTTGAGACTAATAGCCTTTTCAGGCTATATAAATACTACATATAGTGTGTGTGCGTGATATATATATATAAAGGCATATAATAATAAATAAGGTAACAATGCATGAAGGATAAACAGAACACGTCATTATTTTTTAATTTACCTACCTTTTTGAGAAGGGTGTTTCTCCATTTTTTCTTGATAATCCCACCCAACAGCAGACTTATCTTGCCTTTCTTTATCGATACCAAACTTGCCACCAAATCCTTTGGCATAATCTTTCTGTGATTCATGCTTTTCTGTTTTTTCTAAGTAATCCCATCCAACAGCATTACGATCTACTCTGTCTTTCTGTACACCATATTTTCCACCAAATCCAGATGCATAATCTACAAACAATAACACAATATATACAAGAATTAATTCTAGTGTAATTCATTTCCATTGTTTATATTTCAAAATACATAAAGAATAATTAAACAGAAGCATTCACTGTTATTAGATACCCTAACTGTGTGGTCTCAAGCACAAACTGCATGTGGGCCAAATGTACAATATGGAAGCAGCTGACAGGCTGAAATATTTTTGACAAAATTAAATGGTTTCCTTTTTACCAAACAAATAAAATGTTTTAACTAAATTTTTAATTTTACATATCTATTAAAATATACACAAACTCTAATTATAATGATGCAAAGAAAAATTCAAATTTATACTTATTTTCTGTTTGAAATCTAAAAGATTGGTATCCATTAGGAATTTTTGTTAGTTGTTATGTTTTGCATTTGAAATGGATTGACAGCTAAATGTTAAATTTTAAGACTAACATTTATTTCAAATAATTCTGATACATTCAATTAACCATGTAATAACTTACTTTTAATTTAAACAAATTATAGTAACTCTTTAAGACAAAATTTAGGAATAAATAATGACAACTTATTCATTTTTATTTAGTAAAGTTTTCTTCTACGCATACAGAAAAAATACCTATATTTGCATGTAAATAATTATAAATTTTTTTATTCTTTACTAGCTTTCAGATACAACACCTAATGGCATAAAATTTGCAGGGAAACAATATTGTATTGAGTGCAGATTATATCACACCAGCCTTGCACATTTCTTTGCTCCTCCTGAAGAGGACACGATTGTTGCCTTCCTAATTTTATCTTTCACTTTGGCAATGTTCTCTTCTGTTTTGACCTGACAGCATTTCAATTCTAATAAAATTTTAAAAATTTTAATGTAAGCTTGGAGAAAAATGACTAAAAATTATCTTCATCACAAACTGTAGATACAAATTGGTCAATCTTGTTCATTTCTCAGATATATTAACTTTCAACTGTGGGAAAACAGTTTTCACATATAAATGCACTCTCAAATAAAGCAATTATTCTTATAGCAAAAATTCATAATTAAGGATATTTATCTTTTGACAAGTGCAAATAAAAATTCACTAAATCTGTATCTTCAGATCTCTGAATAAGATTTACATTACAGCATAAATTAATTGGCTCCATCTGTAGATTTTCTAGGGCGTTATTCAATGTTCATTTTTAGTAATGAAATTAATGTAACTCCAAATCATTAAAATATTGAACTTTTACTTTTAATTCTTGTCATAATAATGCTAATTAATTAATTTACATGAAATATATTCATGGCCTGGTAAAAACTACTTCGGGGACTGCATAACGAATGGTCAACCATTTTAAAACCACTGCCCTAACTTAATATACATTGTACACCAAACAAACATTTATGGACTGATAACTATTTTGAACAATGCCCCACATCAGAAATTTAACCTGCTTATGGTGCAGTGATACGTTAATTAACTAAAAGATGATACTGGGGAGAAGTATTTAATTCTTTACATTACTTTCCACGAACACAATAACTGAGAGGAGGAAGTCTTCCCTAATTATGGAGATAAAAATACTCAAAAAATACAGTGTCTAATGAGAGCCTGAGGGGCTCTAATCAGACATGGTACCTATATCATTAATATGACACACAAATATGCAAATCCCTGCAAGATGATATTGTCTTTAATTATTTATATTCTTTCTTACTCAAAGAGAACTGAGTCATCTGATGGGACTGGTCAGCTTGGTTACGACAAATTATCACACACCATTTTAGTTCAGGTGCCACTACAGATCATTCCCTATGATGTTCTCCATCAAATCTGGGACAGAGCTACACAATTAAAACAGCGGGACTGTACCTGTACAATCAATGATGAAATTATAGTGTCCTGCCAACATCTAACCATACCTATAGGAAGATTAAAATTTTTGCAGTGAAGAATACTCTAGAATTGTGATCTCAAATTCGCAATCTCCGAATTTTATGTGGCCAATGAATATATTTTAATGATGCATTTATTGATATACAATGCTTATAATTTGGGAGACAAAGATATTGACAGAGTGCTTATGTACAAGACTGCTATCGAAAGAAAAATGACAGAATGAATAGGTTGGGTCTTTATCACTGTGTGCCATTTCACATGACTCCAGTAATTTCCCATATTGGTCCACTAAGTGAATGTGAATTCAGTTTGTCAGCTGGTGACACTTCAGTATTCTAATAAATTACAGGTTTTGCAGTTAAGGTTAAAATTATGTTATTTAATGGCTAATTCAATAAACTGGAATTACCTGAAATTCATCTTAGTCTAAAATTTAATATCTAACTGTCCATGCATTTGAATCAAAAAGTATAACCAAAAGAAATTTTTGGAAGGTACCAATCTTTACATTACAGACAGAAAATAAATATAAATTTGAATTCTTTCCTTTGCATTATTATTATTGTTGCTTATGTATGTTTTAATAAATATTCATTTTGCTTTGTTAAAAATAATTTTAAATTTTGACCAAAAAATATTTTGACCTATCAATTGTTTTCAGATTATTTTCAGACATTCAGCCTGCAGTACGTTACCACTGCTCTAGAAATTCAATATCTTTAATGCCAATTGAACTCACTTCTTCAATACGAAACAGTGCAATACTGACCACTAGACCATAAAATGTTGATTACTTCATCATATATTTAAGGAACATCCTTAATTGCTTATAATGCAAGACAGATCAAATTACATTTTACACAACTTTAAAATTGACTGGGGATCTTGGGGAAAAAAAATACCACATTTTAAAAAATGCATGTTTTTTATTTTGCTGCATGAAAATAAAATGATGCATCTTTATAAATATTTTTAATAATCTTATATAATAATATTGATCTCCTTACTTTATAGTTTTGAAAGATTCAAATTCTCTCACAAAATTAGGAGACCCAATAGGCAAATCCTGCTGGTGAAGAATCATCACCCACCACTTTTTACACCTTTTAGTTCGGATGCCACCGTAGAGTAATTAGGTTATTTTTGAAGCAGGAGATATGAAAAATGAGCAATGCCCTTGCCAAAACTTGAATCTGAACTTCTTGAATATGTGCCAAGTGTGCTAATCGTTACACCACGAAACCATGCAGAAAGGAGGAAAATACTTAAAAAAAATCAGAGAACTGCAGAGACAATACATCACACAAATCTCGGCAATGATAGATGGTTAATTGCACGAATCTAAGCAACAACATGTGATTTAATATGGCTATCAAACCAAATACATCTCTTCATTGTTCCCTTTTGAAATTCTGCAGTGGAATTCTATTGTTCTTGCTGAAATTTTACCACAATTTCTTTCCACTGCAAACAAATTCCACAAGTGAGCATTTTAAAATTAAGTTAAAGGCAGAAAATATCATGATTTGCTTATAAAAACTGTTGGAACTTGGAATACAACAAAATGAATGCATATGAAAATTGTGAAGTTGCTTGACAAGTATTGCTATAAGCAGAGTTGCCTGAAGAATGGCTATGTGCATGATTGCCAGAGTTTGGCACATTCTGAAAATTTTGTGACTTTTAATACCATGTAAGTATTGAAAACAACCTATATGTTAAATCAATGTATATCTATTTTGCAATACTGCAGGTATTTAGCAGCAAGTAATTCTGTGGAAGTCAGAATAAGAAGATATATCCCTGAAATGCTTAATTACTTCAAAATAAGAAAATTGGAAATATCAATCTTTATTTTATTATCTATTAAATTTAGTTTTGAAGTTTAAATATAAATTAATTGAACATAAGCCATTAACAGTATGGAATATGCATGCTTTTTACAATGTAACAATGAAAAGCGGTTTACCTATTTTCTAGAAAATAAAACATAAATTACCGTACATTATAGGTACATGTAACAATGAAAGGTTTAATAACTAATAAAACTTCACTGAAAATAGATTCTCTTCTTAGAAAAATAATCTGGCCCCAATAACCTCTTCTGCATGAGAAGAAACCAACAGATTTTCATATTATGCAAAAAAGGTACACTTTTGCTAAACTTAATATAGGAAAGAAAAACAAAAGCAATTGAATTCAGCTTCAGATTAGTATATTACATTGGTAATTTTGTATGTTTTATTAATAGTCAGGTATACTATGCCAGTAAAATTTAATATGGCCCATGTGTACAGTGGTAAAAAAAATAACTTCAAAATGCTGAAGTATTCATTTTCAAAACTATCTCTATAACACAAAACATACTGAATTAAAATGCACTTTATAAAAATAAATAAATAAAATGGGCACCTTTCTGTGAAGCATGTTTGTTAAGTTTTTCATGATGATCCCATCCAACTGCAGACTAAATGAGGAAATACATTATTATTATTATACTGAGATGCAAATAGTACACTCTGCACAAAAATTAAAAACAAAAAAAATAATAAAGAGGGACAGTTACATATCTCTCGTTCTACTGGGCCGAAGGATGAAATTTAATTTGCAATTTTAAATAATTTGCAATCTGTAAAAAAATATTTGCCTTCAACAATCATTTTGTTTATAATAATTAATCTCATACTTTGAGCAAAATTTTCGACCGGTGCCGAAAATATTTCACGAAAGAGTCGCCGTCTTTATGAGTGATCTATTTTTTGTCAAGGTCACCGTTTATCAGAACAGTACATCAATCAGATGTTTATATTTGTGTTGGGAAGGCAGGGTGTGTGTGGTGTATTTAGTTATGGCAAAGTACACTAGGGCTATCTGCCTAAGGGGAGGGATGCTTTCGTGGAGGACTTTCTAAGGGAAACTGGCTTGTATACACGTTACACATGGGGAAAACCACGAAAACACCCATGCAGCCAGCCCGTTCGCGGGATTCGAACCTCGGACCGAACTACCAGTGTTCAGATACTTTACCGCTCGGCCGCTGGTGGGCCCCTGGGAAGGCAGGGAAAACAGGTGTTGCGTTGACGCAACGTCAGCAGGAAACGGGTAATCTTTTCCTTTCGAAGTAAACGGGTAACTCATTCCTTTCGATGTTCTGGTTCAAGTTCTGGCTACTTTAAAAAATACATAGAACGAGGTACATAGAAGAAAAATTAGAAGAACCCCAAAGATTTTTGGATGAAGAAACAGATGATGATAATGTTAATAATACCAGAATGAAACTGATATTGTTGTTGTTCCCCCCAGAAATTGCAGAAGCTAGTGATGAAGAAGAAGGGAAAGGCAATGTTGTAAATAATGATAATGATATTTTACCAAATGATACTGCTGGGGAAGTTGAAATTCACATAAGAAGTAAGAAACAAAAAAGTTTAAAGTCATACGAAAAAGTTTAAAAAGCTGAAAACTTGAAATGGATAAAAAAGGAACCGTTAGTTATGTCTCAGGAAGAAAGTGAAGAAAGAGATAGAAGAGAAACTATAAAAGACAAAATACAAGGTAAAACTAGTAGAGATATTTTCGATTTTCTTTTTGGTTTAGATATTTACTCTCTTCTCGTTGAACAGACAAATATATACGCTCAGCAAAAAAATCGCCCAGAATTTATTGCATCTGAAGCCTATATGAGAAGACTTATTGGAATATTATTGCTTACAGGATATCATTCTTTACCTCAAGAAGAAATGTATTGGAAGGACATTTCTGTTCCTATTGTACGAGAATCGATGTCATGTTTGTAGTACAGGAATATGAAGCAGAATTTGCATTTAGCTGACAATAGTCAAATTGACAATACTGATAAATTATATAAGGGAGACTGTATCTAAACTTACTAAACAAGAACAAGAAATTCCAACCATTTGGTATATTTTCCTATGATCTGAGTATTGACGAGCAAATGATTCCTTATTGAGGCAAACATTCAGCAAAGATGTTTTTAAAAGGGAAACCTATAAGATTTGAATACAAAGCATGGACTCTGACGTCATCTGATGGATATGTGTTTCATTTCGATATTTATTCAGGTAAGCCAACAGCTCCAAAATTACCAGAATATGAAAAATTTGGGCTTGGAGGAAGTGTGGTGATAAATTTGCTCAGTGTTGTTACAACTCCCGCCAATCATGCTATTTATTTTGATAACTTTTTTACATCATTTTAGCTTCTCTGTCATCTATAAAATAAAGGTCTCAATGCTACAGGAAAAATTCAGGAAAACCGCATACAAATGTGCCCACTAGAAACTGTGAAATGTGTTCGTAAGAAAGATAGAGGTTATTAAGATTTCCAGTATGAAGAGAAAAACAAAATAATTTTTGTCCGATGGAACGACAATTCGGTTGTAACTGTTGTTTCAACATTTGGAAACATTCAACCCATAAAAAATGTTTTCCATTATTCATAAACGCAAAGGAAGAAGGTTTTTATATCTCAGCCTCATCTTATTGAACAATACAATGCCAAAATGGGTGGAGTCAATTTATGTGACAATTTAGTAGCCAATTACAGAATAAGAGTTCATGGCAAAAAATGGTGGTGGCCAATATTTACTAATTACATTGACGTCGCCTTGACAAATGAATGGAAAATATCACGACTTTCTACTACTGGAAATAAAACGTCTCTTTTAGACTTCAAACGCGAGGTTGCATTATTCCTTTTGCAAACTCCTATTGAGAATGTAGATTTAGCCAGAAATAGATCAGCAACAGGAAGACCTAGTGAATTCAGGATTCAAAAATCATTGCATGAAGATGGCAGCCATTTTATCATAAAGTCCGAATAATAACAAAAGACTTTGTTGTAAAGAATGCCATAGCCAGACTGTTTATAGATGCAAAGTATGCAATGTAGCTTTACATCATGATTGTAGTGAAGCTTTTCATGCTTGAATCTTTCAATTGAGATAATCTGTATTTGTAAAAGAAATATAATGTATATTTTAATATTAAATTAATTACAAGTAAAGTGATTTGTAGTGAAGTGATTTGTAAGTAGTAAAGTGATTTGTAAAGTAATTTATAAAACGTTATATAGCTAAAAAGTAATCCAGTGCTCTACTCAAAGGAAACATTGCACGAGTACAATCCTATTCACTAAACATTTGTAGTCTTATTCCGCTGACGTTGCGCAAACCCTTTTTCCACAGGTAAGAGCATTTTTTTTATTTTCAATGTAAATTTATGTTTATAAATGATTAATTTAATATTTGTTATTATTTTCATGAAAAAAGAATCATTCCATGTACGAGGGCCATCCAGGAAGTAGATTACGTTTCCGTCTGTGTCCGCTAGGGGCGGGGCTAGCGCGGCCATCTTGGGGTCAGAGCGTTGCGCAGCTCAGTCTGCATCTAGCCGTGCTAGTGAGAGGTTCGTGCTGTGCTCCGTTCAGATACTGTGACGGTTTGAAATGTCTGCGTTAATTGAAAATCCCGCGAGCTGCGAGGTGCGCTCAGTAATAAGGTTTCTGACTGCAAAAAAACTGTAAAAAACCGATAGAAATCTATCGGCAGCTTCGTGAAGTGTATGGGGACAACATTATCACTGAAGGTGGAGTGCGTCAGTGGGTCATAAGATTTTCAAAATGGCCGAACCAATGTTCACGACGAAGATCGAAGTGGGAGACCCCAGCATAGTGACCGCCGAACTTCTCGAAAAAGTCGATGCTAAAGTCCGTGAAAATCGAAATTTCACAATAACGGAACTTTCTTTGAGTTTTCCACAAATTTCGCGAAGTTTGTTGCACGAAATCATCAGCGAAAAGCTTGGTTACCACAAGTTTTGTGCAAGATGGAAGGCAAGAAGAGAGGTAACGAAGGTGTTGAAGGCGCAGGCGGCCGAATTTTTCGACGAAGGAATTTCCAAGCTCGTACATCGCTACGATAAATGCCTTAATTTGTATGGTGACTATGTAGAAAAGTAGTATTTGAGTGTGGCTTTCATCTGTATATAATAAAATTTTTTTCCTATACTTTGTTTATTTTTTTATTCCAAAACGTAATCTACTTTCTGGATAGCCCTCGTAGTTTTGGTGATTAATGGGTTAAGGGGATGGATGCTTTCCCGTAAACCTTTTTAAGAGAAAATTGCTCGCATTTACATTCCTGATGGAAAATTCCACATGGTAATCAACCTGTTTCTGTTTGATTGGATTAAGTTTGTTTGCTTACTGAATTACATCAAAGCACACCACAATTATCTGTATAAGGGGAGGAATGACTTTGCAGAGGACTTTCTAAAGGAAGCTGTTTCTAAAGGAAGCTGGCTCTAATTTATGTTACACATAGAGAAAACCTTGAATCCAACCCTTTAGCCGGGATTCAAACCCAAGAGAGCTAAAAGTTTTCAACCACCTTTACCACTCTACTGAACAGCCTGTAAAAAATTGATAAAGAAATAGTATTGAAATAGCCAGTTTAATTTACTAACCTATATTTCTCAATTGACAGTACATAAATTAAGCATATGAGGGGGATTATTTGCGAATAAATAAACTATCACTATATTCACAAATAATTCCCCTCAACTTTTCTCCACTACTTCATATTACGATGGAATTATTGCATTTCAAAGTTATTTCTCATGAATTAATTTTGCTCTGTTCATGATTTTTTATTTTTTCAAAGAGGAAACTTCGCACTTTAAATAAAAAATACATGAGAAGATACTTTATGCAAAATTTGGCGTAAACAGTTTTCTTAATTTTGCTTTGAAAATATTCCAGGTTAATCGTTTTCATTACTGGAAGAAATATGAAAAACAGATTTACTACACTGAAGTGTAAACACCTAGTATGCCCTTATACTTTTGAAAACATGAAAGATTACTCTTTCTAAAATAAATTTAAAATATATTATGTTCAAATAGAATATTCGTTGAAAATCAAATAGACTTTCAATCTTTTGGATATAACAATGGTTTTAGACGAAATTTCTGCCTATGACAGGAACAAAAGCCAATTTTACAAAGAAAAATTCTCTTTAAAGATATACCTCCTTTGCCTGATAGTCCAATGTAATATTTGTTAAAGTTAAATGATGAAATGCAACTAATGTATCTCTGATCTTTTTTTTTTTTATATACTATAATAACAAAATTGTCGAAAAATAAACAGATTTAAAGCTTTGTTATTGATATTTAAAGTTTTATTCATTGTAAATTCATCTCAAAATTTAATTGTATTGAATCTCATTCTAATCATCTAGTAGTAATAAATATTAATGAATTTATTATTATTCCATTAAATTACTCATTAAAATTATTTTGTTAATGAAAATATATTATTAAAAATCGCATTCCAACTTATCTAAGCTAGTTTGTATTTATTATATTTTGTAAAGTTTTGTTCTTGTTTTCTAATTTCTAATAAGAAAATATGTGCATATAAGTGAAATGTGAAAACAAAGTTATA